GATACTGATAGTGTCGGGACGTATAGACAAACGTATTTATGCAAGATTGTAATGCGGCGATCGCGGAGCTTCGCGTGTTTAAACGCGATGATTCGAATGACAGTTGGGCTGAGATTAATGCAATCGCGTATTCGCATATCTTCACATGTTGACTTTTAAAATTGATTAGAGAACTGAACAATCCAACGCAAAATGTCACGGAGAGCAATGCGGTGAGCGAGAAATAATTGTGCATACGTCGCACAGAAAAATACAATTCGACTGATCGTCTCCGTGCGCGATATCATTTCTGCGGTTGTAGACTTATGCAGTCAAAATTAGACATCTGAGAAAAATCGTTGAGAAATTCTCTTCATCCCTTGAATCCTCTTAATCCCTTGAAGCATTTTTACGTACGAATTTCTTGAAACTATGTATACAGGGGTTTTTGGGGTCGCTGATTACGAATATGGAGTCAAATTTTGAAAATTTTCAAAATGGCGGACCCGACATGAAAATGTAAAAATGATCCCGGTCACTGAAAATCGAGTATTCAGGAGTTTTTGGAGTCGCTTATTAGGAATATAAAGTCAGATTTTGAAAATTTTTTAAATTCAAAATGGTGGATCAAAAATATTAGTTCTGGGTAATGCTAAAAGCAAGATTCCTTAGAGATTTTCTATTTGCCACAATGTTTGACTGCAATTTTGAATTTTGTAATTGTCAACATATTCGTAATCAGTTATCCACACTGAAAAAAAAAGTTTGGTAATACTTACCAAATGATATGGTTTTACCATACTATTTGGTAAATAGTAACCAATGTGGTAAATGTTACCAAATGTTTGCTAATAATTACAAAATTGTTAGTAAACATTAACTTTCATATAGTAATATTCACCTCTTATATTTAGTTGATACTATTTCACTAAATGTAGTAACTATAACATAGGCTGAATAATTATTACCAGAAATTTTTCTCAGTGTAGAAAACTTTCTAACATAAAGTTATATACAAATCAAGTCACTTTTTGACCTCCAATTCGAATCCTGCGATCTCAAAAACCTCTGACTCTATTACCTAACAAATAAAATATTGTTACTTAATAAATAACATAATTTTAATGGTTGTTATATAGTAATTCATGTATTAGGAACTTAAATGTGTGATTAAAGTCATATTGGCTTATTGAAAAATATGTAAAATCATAAAAAACCGAGTAGAGAAAGGTGCCATATAGGTATGGCACTATGCCGCAAAGGGTCAACAGATAATTCTCTTAATTCCTCACTTTCCGGAATTTAATTGGAGTTTTCCTCTCTCTTTTCTTCTGCCTCTACGGTCTCTCTGACCCGTTGGTAAAGTAGAAACTTCCTACTGCAGGAATTCCTGAAATATATTCGAAAGCTCACGGTACTATCCTGAGTACTCTCTTTCGACGCTTAGCTGGCCTATTTGCGCTCAGCATTATTCCGAAAATGAAGCGTGCTTAACACATATTCGCTCGGCTCGCCCTCTCGTCACTCGTTGAAACCGTCGCGCAAGAAGACACACATTTTGTGGGTCAACGACGGGTATATTGTCGCCGCGATCGACCGGAAGGCGCATGCGACATGGTCTGCCTTATCGACCGCTCAGCATCCACTGGAGTCTGCAGGCTTTTAAGCTCATTCCTCACATCACGCAAATGCCACCGGCGATTCCTAGATCGCGCCCCCTTCGTGCCCATAAAAGCTTAAGTAGCTATCCATAAGCTTCAGTAACAAGCAGATCGAATATTTGGTATCTTCCTTTTAAACAAATGGAAAAGTAGTGTACCAGTAGGGGATATCACATGGACACAAATAAAATGAAAAAGAAAATCCGGCAATCTCTTTTTAGCTTTACTTGAGACTCAATGCGCGACGTGCGTTTAAGATTCATCATATTCCATTGAGTCCCTTAACTCAATATACATTAGCGTATATATGTGGTGTCACACATGAAAAGAAAAGAAAGAAAAAGAAAAAAAATACGTCGTCGGTGGACATTTGTGTGAAAAGGTTTACGCCTCCGGTAAAAGCTTCCCTCCGACGCTTTAGTCAGATCCCGCAGTATCTATCTTGTTATTCATGGAACGTCTCATTCTCCCCCAGTACGCCAGGCTTCAGGGGGGATTTGTAAAAAAATGGATCGCGCCGTCTACCTAGTTTGGGTCACGAGAAATGATGAGAAATTCATGATGAATTTCAACGAACTATATGTCATAAATGGCTTATGAGCACTAAACTTGATTCACGGGCGCTCGCGCGCTAACTTTGTACACGCCTCATATATTTATGTAGATCCTTTGTTATGACGAGCCGAAATACCGTCAGTCGATCGTCAGAGCAGCCGTAAACTCATAATTAAATAATTAACTTTGATCTGGTGCGCGACGTCCATCCATAAATTTCACTTTGCGGCTGCTTTCGGGAACGTGCGTTTCGTCCGAATTTCTCTCACAAATATTACTAACCCCGTGAACCAAACGATAAACTTTTTGCACTAACGCAATGTTCTAATGCTTTCAAATTCTCTCGAATTGCATTGATACGAGATGTTATTAATGAGATTCGCGTATATATCGCGAGCGAGCTTCTATATGTGTGAGAAAGACGAAGAGAGCTTAGCGCTTAGAAACTAAATTAATTATGCATTAAATCATTCCCACTCGGCCGGTGTAATTAAATCCTGAATAGCATCCTTTCGCATTGACGGGCCTCAGCAGAGAAGACTCGCGAAGTTACAGATTATCTACGCGTTGTTTTGCATAACCGGTGCAAGTAAGTAATACGTTTTATATAATCCTTTTATTCGTAAAAGATTTATTCTCGTATCAGTGCAAAGACAAAAATAATAATTTGCAATAAGATATATACCTGACATTAATCTCTTAAATAGTATGCCCAAAAAAATTTCATAGTAAAATATTAAATTTCTTTTGATTTACAAATAAACTACTTTTAAGAGGAAAGACATAGTGTTACTCTTTCGTGTTCTGATATATGTATATTTCATTAACTTGAGCGTCTAGTATTTAACTAATGGCTTACATTTGCTAGATTCCATGATTCTATTACATTCTTTAAACTCATAGCAAATACAAATAAAAGTTAGATATATTTTGTATTTTATTTGTCAAAATATTCTTGAAGGAAAATAGCAACAAAAAAGAAAAGAAATCTAGATATGCTTATTAAGAAAGAAACTTTGTTCTCTGGGGAGAGAGAGAGAGAATCACGTTATTTTATTTAAAATCGTCACTAAAGAGATTAAATTACTATAATAAGTACTGACAATAATCTCATACAGCAATATAAATATCTCCTTTCAGTACACAACGCAACAATTACACAAATATTATTCTCTGTATGACCATAGCGTCACACGAAATCAAATGATGCGCTATAACGAAGTAATAGCCGTTGAATGTCGATCGTTTTACAAAATTTACCTCGCATCATCCGAGCCGTGTACCTTCGGTGTGGAAACGCAACGCTTCCTCTCCATTAACGCGATTGGCGTGACTTGTCTAGCATCAGGAAAAAAATGAATTCGCAGCAGGGGAGCAATTAATTTTTTAAGCGAAGCTGCGCACTCTCCGCTCGTTCCACGATCACCCTCAGGAGCTTTTATACATATGAAGCACACGCGTATAAAAGCATCGTGGTTGCATTAATGAAAAATTCCAAAATGAAATTTCAAGCCGGAGGTTATACATAAAATTTGTTTTTCACAAATTTCGAGAGAAGCATTGCTCGATTTTATTTTTCACGAATGCTCGTTTTTTATATTTCAATCATTTCGCGTGTAAAAAGCTTCGTCGCGCTGGAAGCACGGGATTTCATTAACACAACGTTACAAAAAAAATGACGAAAATCTCATTAAAAGCGTCGATCACGCGCGCAGTTCTCGCTACGCAAACACCCGATACGCACAATGCAAACCCACGTGGCTCACTCGGAATTCAAGCTTTCCGCCCGCGCCACGGCGCAAGCTCGTCACGCAAGTTTAGCTCGGTTCCCGGTGCGAATCGATGCTGTCTTCCCGAGCGCCGTCCATTCATCCTGTCACGCGACGCTCCGAAATAACCCACCGCCTCCAAAAGTACACGAACCTACCCTTAACGGAACAAGAGTTGTCTCAAACAGTAAAGCTCATTCATGGAATCTAGCAAATGTAAGCCATTAGTTAGATACCAGACGCTCAAGTTAGTGAAATATACATATATCACACGAGAGAGTAACGTTATATCTCTCTCTTAAAAAGTTAGTATCTATTCAGTTATCTTGTTGAAGCGCGAGAAACATGAAACGCGAGCGCCAGAGAATAATTCCATTAGTATCAAGTAGTTTCTCCCGATTTTTAAAACGTACCGGGCAAAAGACGCGGGCTTACAAAAGGAGAAAGCTTCTCATCTCGTCATGGTCATGGTCGCGATCGAAAACAGTGATGAAAACAAGAAGCAGGGGTCGTCGAGAAATGGATGAATCGAGCGTGTCATTGCCATTTATTTGAATACCACGTGATTATTCATCACCGACAAAAATTATTTGAGAAAAGAGATGATAAGGGATGATGATCCCGCTAAGGGATGACAGAGAAGGTGAAGTATATCCCAGACGTAGCCCGAAGTGGCGCAGTCGCCTTGACAACGGCGGCGCCACGTGCGTGTATGCGCGCCCTTTCATGACGACGACGTCGACGACGACAACGACGACGACGACGACGACGACGACGACGACGACGACGAAGGTGAAACAGAGAAGGACGATGTCGACGGGAGGGAACAAGACGAACGACGATTATGCTCTGCGCGAGGGACAGAGAGGCAATGAGAACGAGCGATGCAAGAGAGAGAGAGAGAGAGAGAGAGGGGGAGGAAGGAAAAGAGCGACAGAGAGAACGTTTGATGGTGCTAGCTGGTGAGAAAGGGTGGAACGGGGGTTGGAAGGTCGGCAGCAAGAGGGGGTGGCGTGCGAGAGAAAACCGCTAGCGTGTACCGCAGTACGGGATAGTGAGCTGCGAGCTGGCCTCCTCTCTAACGTCGCGAAAAAGCTGCTATCCGCTCGAACAACACGAACGTTGGTCGTTGCGCGCTTTCCGCCATTCCACCCTTCACGAGAAGACGAGCCGTTCACGAGAGTTAGTTCGGTGTCCTCGTTTGGTGTATCCGTGCCTGGTGCGTTTCGCGACGTGTTCGGTCACGGCAGTTGTCGCTTGTTGAATCCGCTGGCGTGACCGTTCTCGAGGTGCACTCTCGACACGTCTCTTCAGGGTTTCTCAATCCGAGCAATTTTCTCGTGGCAGCTATGAAACGCGACTCGTTCGTTCGTCGAATGTCAAGGACGATGCGGCATTTTGTTGTTCCACTTCGACGCGACACCCGTTAGATCTCATGTCGCTGACGGGAATTTGTTGGAAGGAGGCCCAGCGGTTGGGAGGTATCGCGAGTGTGTGAGGGTTGCGACACGTCAAAGAGAGAACGAGAGAGCGGAATACACGGACGATAATTCCGTTTCTAAATTGCGTCGATTGTCTTGGTATCGAAATATCACCGGGGGCATTGACAATGCAGGCGCCTGTACTCGAGTGCGGTGAATCGGAGGACGACGAAGTGGATAACGATCCTCCGTCGTCGACTGCTTCTATAAGCGGAACGTTATCCTCGTGAGACGCTGCCACCTGCGCCGAGTGTACCGCTTGTTTTTATCTAAACGAGAATCTCGACTCTGCGTGTCTTTATCGTCGAGGGATTTCGCAGGATATTCTCGCTACGTCCGGAATCAGAATGTCGTTCTCACACTCGCGATAAAAATTCGTCTGTTGCACGAAGAGAGGGAGGGATATTTTCGGCGCGCAACGAGTGCTGATGCTCGAGGATGCTTGAGTGATCGCGCATTCTTATCGCCGGGAGGAGGCAAAATCTCGCAAAGGACTGATGGTTTTATTAATCGTCTAACGGGATCTCTCAACAAGACAGGACGAATCACGGGTTCCGCATTTCGTATTCCGAAAAGTTTGTTGCCTAACTGAACACTCGAGTGGCTAAACCAACTGTTGTTGGATGAAATTCGACATGCATTCCGAGATTGTGAGGTTTCCTTGAAACTCGGCGCGATGCGCGAGCGGAATTCGCAGATGCAATGTGGGACGAGCTGATGTAATATTCGCGTACCTACCGTCATTGCGAAATGTCAAAGTTCGATCTGGCGGATCTCGCGGAATTCGCGAGAAGGAAGAAGTGCATTTTCATCGCCGTCAGGATCCGCCGACCGTGACCTTGGACCAACATGTGACATCACTCGGTCACACGGAAACGTGTCGTGCAAACGAAGTGTCACGAAACGCTTTTGTAGTCGCTGTTGTGGCGGCGATGGCCGCGATCAATCGAAGCGTGCATAATACACAAGACCTTATTTTCTCAAGAACCCTTGGCAAGATCTCGTTCTTTTGTGCGAAACGCGTGCGTGTTTCGAACGAGGCGACGTGAGAAAAATCGAAGAATCGCCTGGAAGATTGCACAAGTGTTCTCGCCCCAAGCTACCTCGCATCGCTCTTGTTCCCCGTGTGGTTACCTTCTCGTTAGTGATCCTCGTGCAAATTGTTGATGACATATATTACGCGTGTAAGTGGATAACATATGAGACATGCGAAACGTGTAGACGAACGTTGATTAAAGCACCAGAGAGCTTTATAAGGAAAATCTTTATTGATCGAGAGTCGCGAAGCGTAAGACTCGGCGATTATTGCAAAACGCTCGCGCAACATGTCCGCGAGTGAACGTCACGAAATGCTCTCCGCGAGCCGAAGTGCAAATCAATACAAAATGATTCCGAGAGGATTGTCGAATACGCTTTCCCTTCGTAGTTGCGCAAGCTGCGTTAATGGTTGACGCGCTCCCCGCTGTTGTTTACGATCGATTGTTACTGTTATTAGCGGTTATTATGGCGAGTGTGTGTCACCTGACGTTGAAAGCGATCGCACAAAACCGAGCTCATAAGACTCTCCGTTTGAAGCTTGACGATGCTCGGACAAAAGACGGTATTTCCCGTTAATTCGTATACGTTAATTCGTTCATTGTTATCGGTGTAGATCACGCTTTTGGATGCATTTTCGATGATTAGAGGCGACCTACGCGGAAGATTCTGCTGAAAGTCACTTTAGGTAGCTCAAGCAAAAGAGATACAAATAGCTCACGTTTGTTACATTGAGTCGTTAGCTCTAATACTTGTTGATACTCGTTGGAACTTTTTGAGAAAGTGCTTTTAAGAAGAAGTCGTCGGGTGAATTAGCGTCACGAGAAATTCACGTGACCGTATCACGAGTTTCTGCGAATATTTGTGGTGCTATATACGAGTGTGTACATGCGCGGGGAAATCACGCACATCAACCGCAGGCGTATCTCGGAATACTTCCTGGTCTGTTTGGAAAAGGACGTGGAGGTGCTTTAGAACCGAGAGAAACTGCCTCGTAAAAGTCCACCGTGTCTGCAAACATCGTCTTCCATCGTATCGTTCTCGAAGAGGAAGAGAGAAACGGCGAAAACCACTTAGGCTCGAAGGACCACTCGCGTATTCCTCCCGTCGTGAATTTACCCGCTAGATCTCGAGACAAAGCCGGAATTATTCAGATCGCCTGAGAACTCCTTCCGCGCGCGCAAGTGGAACGAAATTACCTTCGCGGATCCTTTACCAAATCACTTTTGCCCGGCTACGACGGCCAAGACGTTTCTCGCCGCTTTCCCGATAACAGCAGCGAAACTTTCTGGTTTGATTGTAATCAGCTTTCGAGGATAGCGAGACGAGTTCAAGTGATTGCGTGCGTTTATTCCGTAATGCCATCATCTCCCGTGGTGTGCATCGATTTGACGTTCTCGATTGCTGTTTGGTACCTTTCTAAGAAGTAAAGTGAGAAGATTCGTTGATCAGTAACAGCGCGCAATTCGAACCCTTTAACTTCTTCACGTTTGACCTTAGCGAACGAGGGACATACACGGTGAAATTAATTCTGCTCAATCGACGCGTTTACCCAGGAGACCGGTGCAATATTTGGGACATTACTGGGTTACAAGCCTCCAAATAAGTTGCAGCTGCACGGAAGAGAGCAAACGTCGAACTGTCGAACCTGGATAGGTGAATAATACCGCAGGAGGTTCTTGGTGAACAAGTCAATCGCTCATCGTTGACGCGGCAACAGGTATCAATTGTCCTCCCGCGAAATGTTCGCCACGGACTCGTCGACTCTTCGTCGCCGCGGTCGCCGGGCGATCACGCGTTTCTCCGGACTCGTACGACGCGCTTGCCGACGTTCGCTCGATCGCGACCGTCTCGCTGATTGATCGGAGGAGTTTCGCGGCGATGTGGTCGAGGAAGGGACGTGGCCGGACGTCGCCGCGGCCGGCAGGTCCTGCGACCTCTTCAAGGTGAAGCTGCCGACGGCGGGGAAAAAGAGGGAGAACAAGTCGGCGTGCCGTCAGCTCCTCGCCCTGTTTCATCACCGCAAGCCTCGGGACCCTCTCCGTGGCTCCAGCACTGCCTCGTCGGTGCCCCTGCTCGATATGGGCGCCAGAGCATGGGACTACGAGGCTTTGCCGGAACTCCACACTTCGACGGCGGTCACGCCGACCTCGACACCACCGAACGCGTCGCAGCAGAAGGCGCCCAGAGTGTACTTCCAAGCGGAGAATCTGGCGTCCACCAGACGGAGGAGCAGCAGCAAACTGCTGGCGCCGCAGCAGTCCTGCAGGAGACGCAGCCGGAGCATGAGCGCCTGGAGCGACCTGTCCAGGTCGTCTTTCAGATTGGACGAGAGGTTCGTTAGTCTCCAGCACGGACTTAGTCGCGACTCGAGATCGCTGTTCGTAAAATACCCTCCTGGGTGGGAGCTTTGATCTGGCTTATCGCTTTCAACTAATCATTCGCGTGGGAAGCTAAATAAGGGCGATCCTTTATTTAGGCCCCTAGTTGTCACGATTATATACGTGCTAAAATAAGAAAACGTGCTCGAAACGTGTTATTATCATTATTACGATTATATACGTGTTCTTCTCTCTCGCGGAATCAAAATTTGAGCCTGAAACGGCCAAAACACACGATGTCCCGTCGGCGTTTTTCCATTTACATGTGTCTGTGTCGACACACAGATCGTATAAATGGGGAAAGCGGCTGACCACACGCTCAACTCTCTGCAAAGCGGAGTTGGTCAAAGTCGACTCGAGCCGCCGACATACAGCGATACCAATTAAATAGAAAGCAAAAATGATTGGCGTATGTGTGCATCGCTAAATGGGAAGCACTCTCTGTGCATCGGTACGTTACACGTAAAAAAGGCTACATTGCGCCGTTTGTAGCTCAGATTTTTTCTCTTCTTTTCCCTTTACTGATGTACGCACACGTTTCTTGGTAAATAAAATGGACGAGTGGCCCGACGCGCGTTTTTAAATAGAATTGGTAAAAAAGAAGTTGTTGAGGATTAATAATATCATTAGCGGCTTTTTTCATCTCAAGCATGCAGGCGCTGAGCCGCTTTGTCTCCTCGCGGATGCATCGTGAATGACTTTACAAAGAACGAGCATTCGATTATCGACCTATGTTGTGAACGCGCGCGCGCACACACGGTCATTTCATCGAAAACCAATAGTGATCGTCGGGATGTGTCGAAAAATAAAAGCATCGAGCAGCGCGCACTTTGTACCGTTCGGCACCGTGAGAAGGGAGGAAAAATTTTACACGAATACCGCCGCATGATCTTGTTGCGTGTCCTCGTTATTGATTATTGGACAATGCTGGCAGTGTTATTTCGCGGCGGAAACGTCAAAACAGCGGTAAACAGCAGCGCGACATTAATCCGAAATCGACGGACCTTTTATCCATTTTAAGGTGCGGCAAAGAAATTGGGGCGCGATGTCGTAAATCTTTTTAACTTTATATAAGTTATTGTGCGCGAATTTAAAGCAATATTGCGCCCGAAATAAATGTCTCATTCGGAAAAAAGATCACGGCGAGTTTTCATCATTATTGCGCGCGTTATTAAAATAAACGCGGCATATTCTCGCTCGTATCTTTGCATTAAGCACAGTTTTACACAGCGCCGCGCGTTCTGCAATTTCCTCCCGTACGGCAATTCGCACACATTTGTAGCGCACGAGGTTGGAGCAATTTTTCGAGCAATCCTAAATTGCGCGCAAGTCGTATTTACTCGGGCACGAAGTTGTGACTATCGCTTTGCTCCGACGCCACTTTATCTCTCGCGATGTAAGCCCGTCTGTCTTCGTGGAAAAATCTCGAGGTTCATCCGGCCAGCAGTCTACAAACATTTCAAGGCTCCTGACTAGGGGAGGGAGTTTCCTTCTGACCGCGGAGAGATCATTAGGTTGCGCTTTCAGGCAGCGACGAGGTCCGGAAAACTCGAGAGAGTATCTTGGTTGTTAGGTCGAGATGAGATTTCTCTTTCCTCGCGCGGCCGGATATTCCGTGCCAGTATCTGTGGTTTCCCCTTCATCCCCATGGTCCAACGATTATGCTAATGTCCAGCTAGCGTTCCGTCCCAAAATAGCTCAGTCGAGCTCGCTACGAAATAGACGCGAAATTAAATTCGAGGTGGCTCATTAACTCGACGCGAGAATCACTTATGCATTCAGCTCACAACGCGGGCTTGCATTGGCGAGATTGAAAATGGATCGGATCGCGCGATTATCCTAAAATCCATCTCTGGAGCCTGAACGCTGCTCTCCACTTGTGCGTTTTATACGTTCCTCCGTCCGTTCGGAATTTTCTTGGGCAAGCGTAATTAAGGAAGAAGATATCTATGATCACGAGGCAGAAGTCAATTTGTAAATTCATAAATTACAAAGTGAGCTTATAAATTGACCTCCGTTACCGTTACCTCTCGTGATTGTAATGAACAATCCTTTTCAAGATATTTCGTAATTTTCTTGTTTCAGGTAAGTGGTGCGCCTTTCGTACCCTCTGTTACTTTAATTCTGCGCTACACGTAAGTAATCGAATCAACGTCGCTGAGGATTATATCGCCGGCTAGAGTATAAGAAAAAGAATCGAGCGAATTGTTCAGCAAACAAGATACCCACTTTATAGGAGATCTTAGATGATCTTTAGATGATCTAAAGAAATCCGGATATAAATACTGCCGCTCGCGACGTAAACATGTGGGGGCCTACACGCGAGCAGTTATCCTTGCCGCAATTAATCACGTTATCTCCCTATGAAAGGGATATCCGGGAATCGAAAATGCGAAGGGGCCGCTTATGCTAAATCCGACACAAAGTTTGCGAGCAACTTGTCTCCCCGCTCGAGATACAGATTGCTCCGCATTAAAAAACCAGTTGAACTTTCGAGAGAAGCAAGAGGCAGAGATGCCTGAGCGCACCCGCGCAAGTACCCTCCAAATTCTCGTTATTGTCGCAAACAGAAATGCCAGAAGTTCACGAGACCGCCGCTCCCCTATTTTCAAATCCGCTCTTTTATTCTGCACGGCATCGTTAACGCAAATTGTCACCCAGTTTTGATTCGGGGTCTCTGAAATCGGGATCGAATTGAGCTTCTCGTACGCCCGGATAAACTCGTATTCTCGTAGTCGGCCGGCTTTCTCGTGGTATTGAGGTCAATCCGGTGACATGACAATTGCATTAAAGATGTAGCGTAGCATACGGCTCGGTGTAGTTTGGCTCGGGAATAACACGCTACGTAAACAGAGGATGGCCAAATAGAGAGAACATCTCGCGAACTTGTTGTTCCCGCAAAAAACTCGACAACAACGAGTCCGACAAGTGCGCGTGACACACGCGAAGAGGAGTGGCCCAATTTTAGATTTCAACACATACATAGATCAGCCGGATTACGTCTGATAGAACGGGGTGCAATTGAAAACGACGCGATGCAACGTTTTTCGGGATGCTTTTAAGGTTTAACACGAAGTAAGGGAAAGAGAGGGAGAGAAAGAGAGAAAGACCCCATAATTAATAATAATAGTCGGAGTCCCCTCTGTCGATCGTCGTGTGTTTATTCTGTCGAGTAATGCAGTTCCCCCTATACTGTTTCTAAATCCGACACCTCGCTCAGTAACATTACTTACGCGAGCTACCTCCCGATTAGGTGCCTTGTCGATTACGCCGCGGATGATGAACCGTATAAATTGAGCGCGCTACCTTCTTATATAACGAGCGCCATATAAAGCCGCTCGATCACGTATCTCACACAATATTAGATACACAAAGATATTATGGGCCTCTGTGGCCATAAACGAAATTCTTTTCACTGTATCGTAGCCTCGCGCATTAATATCGTAAGCTCGCGGCCACGAGGATCGAGTTTGCCGCGATGTGGATATAAAAGAGAAGTTTTTCTATTGTCGTTAGGAGATCTTTTATTTTACTTTGGCCTACGGAATACCTTTGACCGTTCTCCTTTTATATATATCCCCCAACCGTCAACTTGTAACAACTTTATATTTAGCTTGCATTCAACTTCCTATGCGTTGCCCTATGAGACATTTCCAGATGCGTGTTTCCACGCACGCAAGTAACCCCGAAGATGCGGCTGCGATAAAGTCATTGATAAAAAAAGCAGGAGCACTTAGTATCGATCGCTCTTCTATAGCGTATATTCATTGATGGCCACGTCCTATCGAAAAAAAAGGAGAACCCCTCGTTACGATTCTGTCTGGCACATTTTGAATCCGAAGGAACGGCGAGTTGGGTGAAGGGACTAGCTGGAGTAGTCGCATTTTGAATTTTTCGTCAATACAACTCGTGATCGCGATAACCATTATTTCCGCGCGCTTGCGTGATGATAATTCGTCGTTTATCATCGGCCGAAAGTGCGCGGGCTGTTATGGAGAAGCTCCTTCAATTTTTGGAGCATATGGCGGTACTCCTCGAGAGCGTCATGAGAATGCTTGCCTCCGTTGATAAAGTAGATGCCTCATGAGCTTTTTTCCTCGTGATATGAGTCTCATATCATGATCAAAGCTTTCTTTCCTACCTTACCGACCGCACAACGGAAGCTCGGCGAGCTTTGGAGGAGTCTCGCACGGAGTGTATCGTACATTTGAAAATCAGATCCACGGAGATATATCATGTGGGTGATGTACACTATTTATGTGCTTAATTCTGAATGATTTGCGCATGGACTGTCGCAAATTATTCAGAATAAAGCACGAAAATAACAAGAAGAGGGAAAGTAGACGCTGATACAGCTGATACAGCTATCGATTGCAAGGATTTCTGATATAGAGAACGAAAAAAATTGCACTTTTTGCATTGCGTTCTGGTGTAAAGGGTAGATATTCGTCAGAGAATAATTTTGCGAATTGATCGTTGTACCGAGAGTCTGATCGTCAAATTAATTATCGAATTCTCATTCAGGATTTTCAAAGACTGCGCGAAATCGAATTCATTCTTGCCCGCCGGTTATGTTACAATAGAGCGACCGGTTATTATGTTACAATAGAGCGCCCATAATAAAGCATATTTCGCGATTCATACGAACGGAAACGTATCTCTCGCTTGAAATGTCGCGTAACTAGAATGATATTTCCGCTGTGCTAAGAATCTAATGAAGTGTCCGTGCTCTTATTAAAATGCCGTTATTGAAATACGTTTATTAAAACCGCTGGTTGCGCAATGCCGACCTACCGCCTTGTTGCGTAATGACAACAAATAACCCCTGACGATCCATCCCGTCGTCGAGGTGTTATAAAAATCTCTCGCGAGAGAAAATTGAATCGTGCGGCGAAGTTGTCATCGTTATTTTCAATTTTCGTCTTGACTAGCTCAAGAGACATCCAGTGAGCCT